GTATATATTTATATATATATATAAAATATTTATAAGTTTGCAAATCCTTTGCTAAATATTTCAATACTGAAATAGACTCATCATACATTATTTCATCGTAAAAAAACATTCCTCCAGCCCCTCGAATCATTTTAACTTAAAAATGCACCCATCACAATATTTTTCATTAAATAAATAGAAAGGAAAGAAAATTAAATGGTGGTATGTCATTAATTAATATTTTAATAAGGGACTTTATTTTTACAAATTCTTAAATTTGGTTCCTGGAAAAAGATAACAAGTCTATGCAACTTTAGAGTTAGAAAATTGTGAATAGATCTTTGATAAATTCTTTAAAGTTGAACCCCTTTTTCCTAAATCTACAGCTTATAAGTCGAGTTTTTACAACTTACAAAAACAGTGCCTTTTACGAAATTTTGGGATCGAACTTTGATAGCGGTAAGAAGGTAGAATCTTGAATTCTTTCGATCACATAGTGACATTTGAACTCTTTCGGCATAGTAGTGATCACTAAGATACGATTATCTGATTATGAAAAGAGGCAATTAATATAGTAAAATAATGAATTGTATTAAATATTAGTGTCTAACTAGTGTCTAAACTAGAAAAAATGTTCAAATATACGATCATTTGACTGAGCAACAGACTTTAATTCAACAGCAAGAGTCCATGCACATGTTTTTTTTAAATGTTGTGTATTTTTTCCTTTCATAAAAAATAATCCAAATTCTTGTTTCAGTAGATTTTTTATTTTTAAAAGTGCTTTAATTTTTTGTTTAGCTTGGGAAAAGAGAGCACTATTTATTAGGAAAACTTTTTCGAAAAATGTATGAGGGGTTTTTCACAACCAAACCAACAGAGGTAAGTTTTATATAAAAAAAACATTATAATTATGTTTCTGTTATGATAATTTATTTGTAATTCTGTTAATTGTTTTAATTTGAAGTTAATATATTATTTAATTAAACAGAATTTATTTGATTTATATAGATTGAAATATAGATTGATTTTATAGATTGAATTTGATTTATTTTAAAAATTAAAGGAATTTTAAATATTTTATAGGTTTAATTAATTTCAAGAATTTTGATTGCTTTCTTTTATTTCTTACAGATTTTAATTATTGTTAATTCTTATGAGTTTTAACTTTTAAATCAAATTACGTTTGTAAACTTTAGTTATTTTTAAATTAAAATATTTTTTTAAACTCAGATTATTTTCTTAAGTTAAAGTTTTACAAGTTGAAGTCTCTTTAAAAGTTAAAGTTCATTTTTAACTTAATTTATTGATTTAATTATTTTAATGCATTTTACTTAGTTTCTTAAATTTCAACTATTTCATTAACTTAAAATATTGTTACCAGGAAAACTAGACGCTCTTCATTTTCAGTAAAACACAACTAAAATAATGTCTAGAATTAACTTAAACGCTAAGATTGATGTGATCTTGAACTAAGTTATTGCAATTTCATCCTGGCAAAAAAATTGGTTTCATGTAATTTTTCCTTATAGATTGTATTTTAAAACTGGTATACTCAAGATAGCAGTGCTAAAATAATTTTAATAAAAATTGCATTTCCTTTTTTTTCATTGTTATAATTTCTGAAACTTGATTAAAGACTTCATTTGCTTCAAAAATATACAAATTGGTAATCTGATTTGCCTCTTTCGGGCACTGTGGTATTTTCAGTTCAATTTTTTTCTTTTTTGCCTACTGTGGTTTTTCTAGATTTGTTTATCCCCTTTTTTTCCATTTTTTGTTCGCAACTTTACGGTTTATATTTGTATATTATTTTCTTCTTATTCACCCGTGGCAAATCTTGAAAATGGGCTCTTATTTTTGGGAGCTTTAAACAGGTCGGCTGTTATTTCTAATTTGTATATTTTAGCGAACGAAGTTTTTATTCGAGTAATATCTTACCGCTCAGTTTCTTGATATTATTCTTCATACTTCTGAAACTCCTTTAAATGCATAGTCTTACGTGAGGTAAGCCATTACAGTTTGAAACTGAAACCTATATTAAACCCACATTTACAGCTGCTTCTATATACATTATAAAAGCAATAATAAAAACTTGCTTTTAATATTTTAATAACGTCTGTAAACCAGGGCTCGAAAAAACTCAGTAATTTCACCCGTCCCCGAGGACGGCTTGTCCAACAATGTACCCGTCCTCCTTTGAAACTGGCCTGTAGCTTCTATATAAATAAAAATATAATTTTCTCTTATTTATTACAAACATTTATATAAATTGCACAATGAATTAGTAGTTACTAGGATTACATAATACAGTAATAAAAGAAATACTAGGTTACTAATAGTAACCTAGTATTTCTTTTATGAAATAATTTAAATGACAA